ATTATTATTGTTAGTATTATTATTAATAGTAGTATTATTATTATTGTTAGTATTATTATTGTTAGTATTAGTGTTGTTAGTATTATTATTGTTGTTTTTATTTTTGTCTGTCATCACGTGGTGACGTTACGTTCACGTCGAAGCACGCACGTTGTAACACTCGCGTGAGCCCCAGTTCTGTTTGCTAATGTTCAGAGTTTTGTTTTTAGCAGATGTCATCCATTATTACCGTTTTAAAGGGATCGTTCCTCTGCTCGGTTCGGCTGAAAGGTGGGCCGAGCCTCCCGCAGCTGCTGGAGCCACACCCTCCGTTGTGTTGTTGTTGTTGTTGTTGTTGTTGTTGTCCTGGCCAACATCTGTGTGCTGTGGCTCTGCTGTCATCCCCTTGCGCTGAGAGCTGGCCCTGCCGCGTGCATGCAGCAGAATGGCTCGAGCGGTTCCAGCGGCTCTGAGGGCGGCAGAGAGCGCCAGCCCCTGTCCTCCTTCAGCCCCATACCTGCCGCCACCACACGGGTGAGACGGTTCATCCAGGAGAGGCGGTCGCTGCCTCTGCCTCTGCCCAAGGTGATGGTGGTGTTCTCGGCTGCGGCGGAAACAGACAAACCGAGCGATGCTACGTCAAGAAGCTCGGACCCGGCTGCGGAGGAGGAGGATGCTCGGAAGCCGGCCTCCCCTTCACCGAGCAGAGCGCTCCGGTCCTCCCTGAAGCCCCAGGAGCAGGAGGTAGGCCGCTCCGCTCCACACATGAGCCAGCAAACAACAGAAACAACATTTATTAACAAATAACAACAACTCAGGATRGTTTCTGTGCTAATATTAGCTTGTTAGCAATGATTACTCCATAACTTTGCTGTTTATTGTGGGMTTTTATTTAGAGCTCTGTGATTGGTTCAGACGCTGAGCTCTGTGTTGATTGGCCGGCATTGGTCACGTGGTTTAATCTGCTTGTTTTTGTCATCCCACTWAAGTGATTTAAATTAGTCATGTGACTAGGATTTTTTTTTATTAACAGGTCCCCATTAGACTAATCTTCCTGGGGCCCAACAAACAAAATACAACATAACAATAAAAACAAACAACACAAATCTCAACACTTACAACCTAATAAAATACAATAAAATAAAAGAAACAAATTACAGTAAAATAAAAACATCGTAAATTTAATAAAAAACATTAACTTAAACCCCTAAAACATGAATCAATTGACAACCTCTCTCATAACACAACATAATATACATAAATTCAACCAATACTTTACCACAAACTGATAATAAACACCATCTCTTCCTTTTATATTATTTACCTTTGAATAACCAACTCTTAACAGTAGCTTTGAAATTATAATAATCATCTAAAACTTTATGTCAAGAGATAATTTATTCCAATAACTTTAAACATAACTGTTTGTTTCAGTGCATTAGTTTTAGATAAGCGTAACAAAGGTCACAGAAGCAGCATATCTAGTTCCAAAACTGTCGATTTGAAGTGGGCACCAACTGGGAGAACAAGATGGCAGTTTTATGTGTAGTCCAGATTCTATAAAACAAACAAACAAGTCCATATATCGATCTTTCTTCAACCTGTAACCACATTAAATCAACACTGGTCATAAAATCACAACCAAGTGCCAAACTTGCAGCTTTATTTTGAGACATTTGTAACTTCTTTAAACCCTTCTTCAGACCACTGGACCACACAACAGAACAGTAGTTTAAATGACATAAAACTAATGACTGCATCACCAATATTCTTACTTTAAAAGACATAAAGTGCGCATTACGTATAATAACAGCAATATTTCTGCACATTTTACTGAGATGAATATGTAGACCATGACAACTATTGATCCAAACAATTTAAACTCCCTGACTTGCTCACTCTGCTGATTATCCAAAAAGACAAGATATCCAGGGACTCCAGGGGATTAATCGTCGTATTAATTG